TCCTCATTCACTTTCATTGTATGAATAACAGCTGCTTAGACATGCTGCTTTTTACTGTATGTTCTGCAGAAAGTTTGAACGAAGGAATGGACCTGAGTGTGAATATATGATGAAAGGTTTTTGGGTGAACTGTCCCTTTAGAATGATTATTTAGCAATTAAAGTCCCCCATGAATTTGCCATACGAGTGCAGTTTTGTCTCCTTTGACGTATATCCCATTGAACCAGATTTTGTGTGACCTTAAAGCTAACATACATCAACTTAAAACTTCAATGTTTGTCATGTGATCTTTAAAAAGAGATAAAAAATATTTAGTAACATTAGGAAGATTTGTCAAGACCCAAGAAGGAAAACTAAGGAAAGGCATGCAGAAAAAAACAGAGATGCTACCTCAGGCCGGAGCAAAGAGGGTCTCAACAGCTGCTGCTGCTGCTGCTGGCAGAGTCACAAAGAGAACAGAGGGAGAGGAGAAAAAAAGATTTGACACTAAGAGAAAATACATGAGAGGCAGCACAGAATAAAAGGCAAAGACAAAGAGAATAGCAAGAAAAGATGTTGCTGCATACCTTTAAAACGAATGATCAGACAGAGTACATGACAGCAAAAAGATGTGCGTTAAAAAAGGAAAGAGGGGGAGAAAAATTAGCTCCTGGTTAGGAAGATAATGACAGAGATGCAGATGAGGGAAAATGTTCCATCTAAAGAAGTAGACCCAACTTTAAGAGCTAAAGTGCTTTAAAGGTCAGAAAAGGTTGTGTTTGACAGCATGCATATGCAACCTATATGCATTAACTTTGCAACTTAGACACTGAAGTGACTTCAATTTACACTCCTTAGTGGGGTGCAAATGTAAGTTTAATGGCAAAGTTTCTATTGCTCCCTTCATCTAATTGAGATTCCAGTGTAAGCCTCTCACAAGGCACTATTGGCAGCCTGAAGTGACAAGGGAACAAGGCAGTCTTACCTTCGATTTATTAAAGGCCTATATATTAAAGGGATAGTTTCACCCAAAAATGAAAATTCTGTCGTTAATTACTCACCCTCATGTCGTTCCACACCTGTAAGTCCATCGTTCATCTTTGGAACACAAATTAAAATTACATTTTTGATTACATCCGAGAGCATTTTAATGTGGTAGTTGTGTTGCTCCCATTTAATCAAAAATATCTTCATTTGTGTTCCGAACACGAACAAAGGACTTACAGTACAGGCGTGGAACGACATGAGGGTGAGTAATTAACGACAGAATTTTCATTTTTGGGTGAACTATCCCTTTAAACCAACTACATAGAACTGGATTTTTAGTACCATCTAGTTCTAAAAGTCACCATCATGATGCCATGAGGTATTACTCATATCCATGCAGTTTCACAGTTAGTGTATGAGTGACAGAAATAGTGATCAGATCAAAGGAAATGTAAAACAAAAAAAGACTCACCTCTCTGCCAAAGCCACGCCTGCTGAAAGAGACATAAAAAATGATTGTAAGGAACGACATGTAGCTGGAAATGTGACATCTGTTGACTAGCTAAGTGATTTTAGACTTGTTCTTGTAGAGTCTGACTCATTTTCATCCTACGGAAAGCATTTCAACACTTCCTGTTATCTCTTATCATTGGACCAGAATGAAAACACCATATTTAAATGCGAAAGCACTTGAAAGATAAAAACGCACTCAGGGAAATGGCGCAGCTAGTCCTGACACAAGCAGTTTTACCTACAATGAAGTCTTCAAAAGCATGTTAATCTGCTTTTTCCAAATAAGTCATTTTCTGATGAATGGAAAACCAACATATGCACACATACTCACACTCATACACAACCTATACTTAATGCAGTAGCTATAAATTGTCCAATCATACACTAACAAAATTTCAAGGAAAGTTACATTTGAGAGGTCTCTCAAGGGCCAAGAATGAAACCCACTTAGTGATTAAAGCACTGTGACAAATAAGCAACATGTTGTTCCAAGTGTGTGTGTGCATACCTGGTATTCCCTACATTATGGGAACCAAATATCCCCACAAGTATAGTAATAACATTACTTTTTTGGGGGGGTTCCCATGAGGAAACAAGCTTATAAATCATACAGAATTAAGTTTACCTGGTTATAGTTTGCAACAAAATTGTCCCACAAAGTGAATTACATCTGAAGAAGCGTCCTCAAAACTAGGGTGAATCTTACATAATCAAATTACAAAAAACAGGCCACTGGACATGTTCTTAACATGTTTAATGAAATTCACCCCATAAATAAAGATGCACAGAATGGCATTAGAGGGTGCATGTTCTGTTTCACATAAATAAGTTATGAAATACCCCTGTCAAACACACACAAACACATCTCTCTCACATATAATGAATGAGAATGGCAGATGAGTGATGTGGGATGCGTGTGAGTGTGTGTGTAGGAGGAAAGAGACGTCTCTCTTGGTGTCCCTCAGTTCTATGAATGCAAAAAATGGACTTGCAGTCTCGTGGAGACTGTTACGTGACACTACCTTGAATGAATGATCTCAGAAGGACAGGAGGGCACATAACACAACAAAAAACATTATAGTAAGATCCGTTTTAAAAGACAAAGTACTGAGATGAAGTACTCTCATTTTCTAATAGAGCAGGAGAGATTCGTTTTATTTTGTGTGGTGAAGCAGGTGATATGAAAGGAGGGTGGAAGTGAGGAAGACACGAACACAGTAGAGAAAAAAACAGAATTCAGCAGACTCATCGATTGATTAATTAAATTTCTCCAAACCTCACCGTCTGTGCTTTCATCCTGCTGAGCAGGTCATGTGAATATAGAACTGTTCCTCTGAACCTACATACAAGCCCTGGCACATCCACACAATATCCATTCAGTTTGCACATAAATCTTTTTTCTCAGACATCACACACCCTAATTCTTCAATTTTGAATTGAGGAGAGAAGAATTCTTCCTCCCTCCTTTCATATCACCTGCTTCACCACACAAAATAAAACCAATCTATCCTGCTCTATTAGAAAATGAGAGTACTTCATCTCAGTACTTTTGTCTTTTAAAAAGAGATCTTACTATGGTGTTTTTTGACATTTTTAATAGCAAATCAATAGTTATTGTGATACTTTATAAATTATTTTTATGTGTGTGTGCGTGTGTCACAGATCACAGCACATTTCAATTTTCGTAACAATGCATCTGTCCTGTCCTTCTGAGACATTCATTCATTCAAGACATTACGGTCTTCACAAGAATGCAAGTCTGTCTTCATATTTATGTTTATATCTCACAATTCTGACTTTTTTTCTCAAAATTGCAAGCAGCAAGGTGAGAATTGTGAGATAAAAAGTTGCAATTACCTTTGCAATATTTCGTTTTATTCATGGCAGAAAAATGGCTTCCATAAATAACTGTAATTTCATTTCATTTCTATTTAATTTTTTAATTAATTAATTTATGTTTGTGTGTGTATACATTTCAAAGGTGCACTAACACTTCAGAACCGAAGATGAGACATTAGCAAATCAGTGTTCATTTGCTTATGGGATGATGACAGATTTCAAACAGATTTTTCGATATGGATGAGGGAGATGCCATCTGCACACCCCTGCTGAGATATTGTAGGAGCGGTTTGTCTGAATGGAGAGACATTGACTGCACGCCTGATGGGGTGAATTCAGCGGGGAACGGCATAGCAGACGTCCCCCTGCCATGTGCCACATAAACGATTAGCTGTATTGTTTAATCTCTATGTGATTCTTGTCTGCTTGAGTTTCTGAAAGGGCAAAAACATCTGCAGGACCAAACCAAGACAGGAGAGCTTCAGGAGGTCTGGCACTCTAGACAGCTTTTAAAAAAGGGTTAGTGAGAGTGCAGGGAACAGGGAAGAGAGATAGAGGGAGATACGGTGAATAAATGAGAAATATATATAAAGAATTACCTGTTTTTAACCTTCAAAACCAACCTTGTTTACTTTCTTAATGCATGTTCACCAGTGCTCATTATTATAAATAAAAATGTATTTTCCGAACCTTTAATCAAAATGTAATAACCTGCTCTTCCTCTGAAATGACCTTCCTTTTCCATTGACATTACTTAGGCTGTGCAGGCTACTGGATGATATGATTCTTTTTTCTGATTATATTAAATTGATTAAACAAAATCTTATCTTTAATTATAAGGCCCATCCTCATCAAACTTGATGATAATCTCTGTCACCACCTTCATCATCAACGGACACTCCTCTCACAGTCACATGATCATGACAACAGCTCTTCACACCAACATCCGCCTGCTAGGAAACGTGTCACCAGTTAAACATTAAATATTCATAAACCGTGATGGTCAGTTCAAATATTTTTTTTGGATTTATCTGATAAAAAAGTCAATTTTTTTTTCATATATTCCACTGGTAAAAAATTATTCCACTTGCTCAATACCTTTCTTAAAAAAATTGTAAACTGACAGTGATAAAATTACATCTAAATTAATGCATGCTATACATATTGTGCAAAAAAACTATCTAAATGTTACATATAAATATACAATATACATACAAGTAAAAAAAATATACACTACTGTTCAAAAGTTGTAGGTCGGTAAGATGTTCTTATTCTAACCAAGGCTGCATTTATTTGATCAGAAATATAGCACAAACAGTAATATTGTGAAATATTATTACAATTTAAAGCATATGTTTCTATTTTAAAATACTTAAAAATTTAGTTTATTCTTGTGATATTAAAGCTGAATTTTCAGCATCATAACTCCAGTCTTTAGTGTCATGTGCCTTCAGAAATCATTTTAATATGCAGATTTGATACTCAAGAAACAACTAATTTCTTATGTAGCACAAAACTCTATATATAGTACTGTATATATAAAAATATAATCCATTAGAGCTGTTTTTTATTAAATATTTCTATTTGCTTATACTTATAGGATTTCATTCTCCAAAAATAATATTTATATCATAACAAATATTTTAAATCAAAATTCTTCACTCATTTTCTCTGTATTCTATTTGACTGACACAAATGCACAAATGACCATTCTGTGAGGTACTTGCGGTTTAAACACAACTCGCTTATACCATAAAAACAGTAAAACACCTCACAGTCACATTGAAGACGGCCACATGAAACACTACGCTTTTGACCTTCTTTGAAATGTACTATAAAGTGCTCTCAAAGTAAAGTGCCCTCGAAATAATAGATGAAAAAGTAAGTAATGAAACAAGTTCAAGTGTAGGAAAGAAGGTATTAAAAAAAGAGTTCCAGAGTTCATTCAGAAATTAAGGGCTGGGGTGGGGGCGATCTCTCATTCCACTGGGATTGGTTGGTTTGAGGGCTGAGAAGAAGAGTCTGATTCTAATTGGCTGCTGTCTGTTTCGCCTGGTTTAGACTCTGGCTCTTTTAGGACAACAGTCGTGGAGTCTTTACTTCCTCCTTCGCAACTGCTGTCATCTTTCACATCAATGCTGTCAGCAGATCTGGGCATGCTCTTGAGGATCCCTCTTAGTTTAGGTGTAGGAGTTGGAGACTGAACAGGAGTTGGGGTTGGTGGTGGGGTGAAGTCCTGTTGCAGAAGTGGAGGAGAAAGAAAAGAGCGGGATGGGACAGGGTGAGGGAGTGGTGGACTGGAGTCTGATATGAATTCCAATGTGATCTCACAAGGCTCCACCGTCATGTAATTGGATATACTGGAGCTGAACTTCCTCAGGACGGGTGGAGTCGGCCGCTGAGCCATGGGTGGGGGGGGAGTCTCGCCGTCACCCCCGGTGATGATAATGCAGGGTGGGATGTCCTTGCCAACGGAAATTGGACTGGATGAGAACATGAAGGCGCTTAGCAGTGGGTCGTCCGGATCCAGAGATGCGTAAGAGTCCCGGCTCTGTCTGGGCGTCCGTTCAGCTAAAGCTTGCTGCTCAAACTGTCTGGCTTGTTCTCGGACCGACAGCTTTGTTTCTGTGCTTCGACCACTTTGATCTACATCAGCATCAAGTTCTTCCCTGCTGTCCTTAAGCCCCACCTTCAGCTCTTGCTCCTCCCATTCAGTGGGGTCCCAGAGTGCCTGCCGGCACAGAGCATCATAAAGCCCTCGTCCTCGAATACGGGACGGCAATGACCAAGAAGTCATCTGGCTGATGGGGCTCGTCGGAGATGGGATGTCACTGTCTAGAAACTCACCGACCCTTTGCACCTCCGAGTTGGGCTCCGGACTACTGGATGCTCCATCCCGGTAAAGTGGATTTTGTGTGGTGAGCGGCTGTTCATCTGAGAGGAAGGTGATGTTGCTTTCTGACTTGGGCAACTTGTCGAGCAACTTTCCATTTCCGCCACACAGTTTGTGAGCGGCAATAGCACGAGAGGCGAATGCTCTTATGAGACTCTGTCGATCCGCCTCCTCAATTACAGACTTTCGGCGCCTTCTGCAGCCCACGAGAGAAAATGAAAGGAGAGGAGAGAAGATTGAAGCATGTGTGGAAAGAGACAGGAAGGAATTGAGGGAAGAGAACAGCCATGGGAGGACAGAGCGCTAATGACCCACTACACAAAAATCCTTCACTTTAATGGACTTTGAAAGAGTTCAGTTAAACAAATTTGCTCATGATTTTGCATTTAACTTTAAAGACGCTAAAGCAAATACTCTCAGTCAGGACTTTGGAGACAAATGTGACCCTGGACCACTAAACCAGTCTTAAGTGTCAATTTTTCGAAATTGAGATTTATACATCATCTGAAAGCTGAATAAATGAGCTTCCCATTGATGTATGGTTTGTTAGGCCAATATTTGAACAATAGAACAATATTTGGCTGAGATACAACTATTTGAAATTCTGGAATCTGAGGGTGCAAAAAAATCTAAATATTGAGAAAATCGCCTTTAAAGTTGTCCAAATTAAGTTCTTAGCAAAATTTTTTATTGATAATCATAGGGTACATCGGGCCAGGGTCAAGACACATTTTCTTCTAAACCACATCTGCGGTTCTCTATGCACCTGAAAAATTTGGCAGATCATTGACACAACTATTGTAGGGTCTGGACCAATCAAAAACACAATTTTTCATTTGATTTAACAAATCGGTTATTCATTAGATTAACAAATCGTCACAGTCCCCTCACCCAATAAACTGGGTGCCAGGATGTCTGCAACGACACCAGGCCCCCCTGGTCCCCATGGCAACTAATGCTGATATCACTGGTTTTATGACCCACAGGAATGTAAGTAGGGAAAATCACTGCATGTTCCACAGCAAGAGGCACAATGCACAGTAGAAATGGACTTTTCTACTAATTAATTAATAGGAAAACCTTTCTTTGAATGAACACACATATCCTTCAGATCATGGTGTATGTTGTCTTTGATATTTTTAGACTATTCTATGCATGCTTATGATGGAACCCATTCCTGTCATCTTGCCATATGTAATCCTACCATGTTCAGTATCTATGAATTCACCTTCTGATGATCGAAACGAGCATGTATATTATATGTTGGTACATAGGCAATATATTAGTGTCCTGAGAATCTGTTGTAATTTCGATTCAAGTTCCATATGCAAATTACCATGCTTCCACACAAAGAGTCATAAAACTCCCCAGTATCTCAAAACTCCCACTTGGGATACCGGCCTTTCTCATTGGACAACCCCATCTTGAGAGATGGGGGTCTTCTCCGACCTTAAAGGCATCACACCATGTGACCAGCCCAGAGTCGGTGGTTTGTTTGAATTCTGAGAAGATGTGAGCTACAATGCTCCAGGACATCCTTAAGTACGTGCCAGGTTTCGGCCTTGACTTTTCCATTCATCAAGATTTTCTGACGCAAACTGGTTCTTTTTCATCAACCAACTTCAGCAAAGATCAACTTGAACCGTTGGACTGCATCAAGCCTTTCTTTCAGACAGATGAGATGTGCAAGTATTCAGACTTAGTCTTACTAATTGATACATTAGGTATCATTTGCACCTTTTTACAAAGGTGTGTTTGAACTAAGAATCGGATGTTTCCTCCAGGCTGTAAATCTGCTGAATATCAAATGGTACTATAGTTTCATATTCTTATTTCTCTTCTCTTTACTGCGTTAAGCTTTAACCCTTTCCTACACAAACTGTGTGTGTCAGTGTGTATGTGTATGTTAGACCAGTTTAAGTGTTTATGTAGTATATTAGACTAGTTTAAGTGTTTATGTAGTTAATAAAGTCTTATTTGTATCACACTTGACGTTGTTCATTGTTTGCTCATAACTGGAGTCACTTAATCATGCAGATTTATGCTACAAGCTCATTGTAGAATTGTACAGTAAGAAAGTTATTTCCCTTAACCAGGAAATTAACATTCTTAGAACTGACAGACAGTTGACCCTGAGATGATTTTCATTTTTGTTAATGATTTTCAGTTTCCTTCAGAGTAATTAAATCAACAGTTTTTAAACTAAAGAATATGTAAAATGATGGTTCATTTCATTTGTTGACATGACATGGGTAGATTCAAATGGTAATTATCTTTTTTTCATTGAGTGTCTAACTAAGAGATGAAACCATCATTTTAAAAAGTGTAATTAATAATAAAATATACATATCATATTATTATGGGATCTGATTCAAGCACTATATGAAGCTCTCTGATTCTTTTATTATTTCATTTTTAATTCTTTTTTAAAGGGGTCATATGATGTTGCTAAAAATAACATTATTTGGTGTATTTGGTGTAATGAAATGTGTTTATGCGGTTTGAGGTTAATTAATTTCCACATACTGTACATTATTGTTTCTCCTCTATGCTCCGCCTTTCTGAAACGCATCGATTTTTACAAAGCTCATCAGTTTGAAAAGCGAAGTGTGCTGTGATTGGCCAGCAATTCAGTGCGTTGTGATTGGCCGAATACCTCAAGCGTGTGACGGAAATGTTACGCCCCTCACCATACTGTGATGCCGTGTCCCGGAGCGACGAGACAAAAACATTAAAACCCATTATAAACGAGGCATTCGTTGCATCCAGTGGGGACATAATTACGGATTATAATGACTTATACTGTCTTTTTATGCGTTGCAAAAACGTACTTACAGTCTGGGAGTCAGAACAGCCGGCATTTGTAGTCTACTCTCCCAGGAAACAGTTAAAATGCGTAAAATGCGCTGCACACATGATCTGAATATTTGGGTTGAAGTGTTCTGGAACAGTGTTGTAAATACAACTTAACCACCGATTTCTAGTCATGTCCTCTTTTGGAAGGCCAAACAAAGTAGTTTCGCTTTCACAACAACACACGCAGCGTCACACACGGCGGGCTTGAGTGAGGAACGGCCGGCGGGCTTGAGAACGGCACGGCCGGCGGATTCGACGGATTCAACAACAAAAAAAACTACTTTTATGATGCTTTTCCCACAAAATGTGCTGCTCTATCAATGTTCAATAACATTTTTTTTTTTTTCTGCACTCATACAAATTTCCTTTCCTTATTGGGCCTATAGCCCCACTGTACCCTACCCGCAAAAACAAAGGCTAGGATATCCATGTTTCTTTATATACTGTTATCTGAGCCTTGAATAATGTGGCAGTCTGAGATATTAAGTAGGAATACCCTACATCCAACTTTGCATGGAATGCCGCAATATGATGAATGCAAGCAGGCATCAAAATTGTGTATTTTCAGCTGTGAAGCACAAAGATCATACATACACTAGCACTCAAAAATCAGTCTGAAATCCCTATCTGTTCAGTTAATCGTCGTTCAAACATCAATCAAGATGATCTGTGACAATGGCGAGTCTCAAAGTGAAGGATGTGAGAAGTGTGTTTGTTTGCTTTGAAGAGAGAACTGCGAGAAACTAGAGCTGGGAGGCGAGGGCTTTATCTAGTGAAAAACTACTAAAGCTTGAATCTACTACAGAGCTACACACATGTATCTGTGAATTTTATGTGCATTTTCCATTTTTTTAAAGTAAATAGTATCAAAATGTTCCTTTAAATATGCAATTCGACAGAAAAAGTGGCATAAAAACAGAGTAAATGGTAAAGCAAACTAGCAGACAGTTACACAGGGACTAGAAACTACAAACCACACATGTAAGCCAAGAAGGATTTTAAAATACATTGATAGGAGCGTGTAAGAAAGAGCACTGCAGGGAAATGCAGCATATTTTATGTTACTCACTGTAGTCCAAGCCTGGAAAATGCAGAAGATGAGAATGAATGAAACATGATAGGAAAATACATGTAGATAGATGGATATGATGACAATTTAACACAGACAGGCCCTATTCACATTTGGCATTAACATGCATTCTCAGCGACAGAATCAAAAACAGAAACTTGACCACAATGAAAGCCAGATGTAAATGCACACAAAACCATTTTCCACAAAGGTGTAAGTGCAAACGTGTTTTTTTAATCACATAAAGTACAACTAAGCAAGTAATTTATAAATGCCGGTTTCTGTGGATGAGTGCGATCAGATCTCTATTCAAATCCAAATGGAAAAGCACTGGAGTGCAAGGAATAAATGCAATCCAGCTAAATAATAATATAAATGCAATCCAGCAATAAAATGCATATTAACATCAAATGTAAAGGGGCCTGAGAGACACATGTAAAAGGTAAATAGAGAGGAAACGTAACCACTCAACTGTTCAATCATTCATTACACATGTGAAAGAAATGTGCATTTTGATACATGCAACACAAACTGCATAAATAGGCTAATATTTCAGTGGGATGGGAATGTAATGAAAATATGTTCGGGTCATATTGCACCCCAAAATCAACTGAAAAATAACATAACATGAAGAAAATAATTTTTAGGGCCATTAAGTGTTATCTTCACTACAATTCCTTATTACCTCTCATTTTCATTTAGTTTAACTTGTACTAAAATAACTGGAAAAAAATAAGAATAATAAAAAGTGAAAACTTTTTCAACATATTAAAAAAACTTGTACAAATGACAAAAAATTCAACATTTTATATAACATATATAATTTTATTTTTATATATATAATTTATTACTTTTGTTTTGGGGTGAAATTTCTGTTAATGAAATGTTAAAAATAAATGAACAATCAATCAATCAATCTATCTGAGGGTCACAGAGAGACTCCTTAAGCACTGTTTTATAAGGTTGCTGACAGACTACTATTATTATTAATATCCAACAAAAGAACACAATGTTTGCCCAAACACACAAGCAAACAAATTCTACCCTGATGTTCCTTTCTGCTGATGGTATTAAACTGCTGTTCAGGAACACGGTCCATCAATCTCAGCATCTATTCTAATGGATTCAATACAAAACCATGTCTTTTCCGCTGTCTTTTTGTGTTAGCAGCTGCATTTGTTTTGATTGCATTAAATCAAAAGCACTTTAAAAGGCTTTACCTGAGGGACACAGATGCTGTGCTGCAGCTATAATCTTTTAATCTATTAACATTTCATTCCACTCACAACAGCCTTTAGCTTGGCAATGGACTCCTGCTGCACCAAACCCGCACGTCCAGTGAGCACATCTCTATGGATGGACTTAGTAAGCCAAAAACACAGCTAATTTACCAAAGGAACAATTACCTTTGGGATGTCAAACAGGCACGGTTTCTCCCTTTGGAGAATGGCAATGGCCCTTTTTTCAAATGAATAACCAGGCTAGGGCATTAAAGAGGTAGTTCACCTAAAAATTTATATTCTGTCATTCTATTATTTACACTCGCATGACATTCCAAACATGAAAGACTTTATTTTTCCTCCATGTGACATGAAATAAGATATTTAGCAGAATGTTCATGCTGCTTTTGTCCATACGAATGATAGTGAGTGGCAAAAAAATCATACACTTTGCCGCAGTTTTGTTATAAATTTCAAAAATAATTACAAAGAAATTGTATACATTAAATTAAATGTGAATTTTAAAAAGTAGACTGAAATACTAATTTCTTATAAAACATACTCCAATAATTGTTTTATTTACAACCTAAAAATATATATTTTACAATGTACTATGGAGTACTTTTATGGTGCTGTTTTGGTCCATAATATTTTTGTGGTGTTCCAAGAAAGAAAGTCACACAGGTGACTGATTGAATGACGACCGAAATTTCTGAGATAAATTTATGGCAGAATTTTTATTTTGGGGTGAACTATTCTTGATTTTCCTGCAGATACACACACAAATCTTGTTAATCATCTCTCTGCTGTCTCTGCTGAAGGTATTATTTAGGACAGGTAACTTACATGCCGCCATCTCCCAGCTCCTCGTAGAGATTGGTCGGAGCGCCACCTCCTGTTGATTTGCCGGCAGGAAGAGCCATCTGGATACGGGCAGTTTTGGCACACTCGGCCTGTCTCCTGTAAAGCATCCTCAAAGAGTGAGTTTCCTTCTTTCAAAAGGCTCATTTCAGCTCTATTATTGGAGGATATGAGGTCTGGAACTCTCATTTGATCTGTTCCAGCACTTTTTATTCATGCAATGCAAAATATCATGGGTTATTCAGCACCTTTCACACTGAGCTGAGGTGTTTTATTAGGAGGGAGCTGAACCCGGCTCACTTTGTACTCTATGAGGTCATGAAACCAGTCATTTCTGTTCATTTTCAAAGGCATCGCAATTGTGCTGGAATCAGAGAGGGCTGGAGTGAGTATGTCCTTTGCTTCTCATCTCAATTCATGCATTCTACTCGCATGTTCCTGTTTTAAAGGACTGAACTGAATAAGGAGGGTACGAACGCACACAGTCTCTGGCAAATAATTCATCAAAAAAGAATTTGAACTTACTCTTTGAATCTGAGCGCAGGGTCCACATTCAGCGACAGGAAGAGCAGAGAAAGAGGCAGAGGAAAGATAATTGAGATAACAACAGAGTTGTTAGATAATTAGGCACAGGAATAATTAAACAAAAACACAAACAATGATTATTAAAAGAAAGACTGTCAATTTAAAATGTTAATTTACTATAATACTATAAGGTAATGTAATATAATATAATATAACATTTACCTACAGACAACAGAGGACAAGTGGTTTAGAAAATGGATAGTATAATATATTAAATATGAAACTATAAGAAAATTGTTAATATAATAATTTATATTAAATATATAACTTCAAATAAAAATAATTATCAAAAAATGTCACTGTTACATTTATTAATTATACCCTTTTACCTGTATGTAAATTCCTAACTAAGGGATTTTCTAACCACAGATTTTCCCAAAAAATATCACTACTGTAGGTACATGAATTGCCATTTGCGATTCTGGTTAATTGTCATTAAAGGTAGGCGATTTCGGAGAGGCTAGCAATAGCAAGCTAGCTTTGAAAGCATAAGATCCCACCCTCCCTGCAAATCACTCTCCAAAGCCCTGCCTCCTCCAAAACACATCAACGCACACAGGCAAACCAGATGCTAACGACCTCATGTCTCATTCACCGGTGAGAAAATATTACAGTACAAAGCACATAATATTACAATAATAATTTCCATTCTCACTAAGTCTGCAATAGCGTAATGGAGCGCGCTGATTATGTATCATGTCTGTGCGAACAGGGTGTGTCGAGGTATGCAAATACATACGTTAAAAGGTAGGACAGCCTATCATAGTCCTCGGACAGAAGGATATGATTGGACAAACATTTTATGGTCCTACGCCTTCCCCAGAAGATATAAATACATTTAGACCACTTAACTTAGTGATTGCTATCAGGATGGAAAGAGACTTTCAACCAGCATAACAAAAAATGTTTCTGAACCAAATAACCTACCCTGCCTTTTTGTAATAGATCATAATCTTAATTCATATTTTTAATCGACTGGCAGTCCAAATTCTAATTTCACAGGCCAGAAAATGCTAGTAGTGTTGAACCATGCAGCCCATTTTGTTTGCAGCTACTGCTGCAGGTGTGTGTGCATAATTCATACTGTAAAATGTGATAAGAGCACAGGATAACACCGGTTTATTCCACATCTCCTCAGCTGAGAAACAATACAGCTCTCAGCAGTAACCCCTCTCTGTCTCTCCAGCTCTCCATTCTCCTTCTCATCTTTGTATTTCATCCACACACTCTCTCGTCCTAACCCAGGGCTTCCTGGAGGCTATCAAAGACGTGATCCTCTCAATATTATTTATTTAACCAGAATGCAATTACTCAAAAGACAGTGAGAGATCTTGTGTTGTAATATATAAGCTAGCACTTGTGTCTCCTGTTATGCATCTTTTGTAAACAACCAAATGTAATGACGTAAAAACGTCACTTCACCTTTAATACAAGAGTCTAATCACAAAATGAACTCTTTAATATGTGTAAAAACATCTAAATGCAGTCATGCATGCATGTGTGTGGGAGAGCAAGCTTCACACACTTACTGTAGGTGTGTGTGTTTAGCTGTTTGTGTTCGCTGTGTGATTACCCATCTGTTATGTATTTACACAATAGCTGATGACGGACTCATTGGTGTGTGCAGAAGGTCAGGACCACACTCACATCTCAAGAGAGCTGCTGTGTGTGGAGAGCAGGCCCATATGCTGGGCTTTCATGAGATGTGACGGATGGATCGAATGCCTGGGATATGTCACAAATGCTTATAATTAATCTGCTTTCACACAGAGCTGGCTGGGAGATTAGCCTGTTAGCATGGCTAATTACTGAAAAAAAGCCATTTTAATACCTGGCATCCAATACTCATCTCCATCACCTACTGTGTATGTTTTGTTTAAACCTGTCCTCAACGCTCTCAGAATCGTACAGGTTACAAATAGAGACGTACAACTGCAGAGTAAAGTGTCTTCATGTATTTACAATAGCAGCTCTGAGAACATATAAATACATTGTCTTTATATGTTAAATTTATATATACATTTTAACTGCTAGCTAATTGTCTACTAGTCTCGTAATCATAGTTCCCTTTCAGTCGGTCACTCTCGACGTCACGTCGGAGGACCGACGAATTGGGATCTCACTTAGAGGGACCAATCTACTTCGAGTGTAAACTAAACGAGCCAATGCACATTGGCATGCGATTATTGCATCCAGCTGCTGCTGATCCCAGCGTGAGTATAAGTAGGCAGCAGATGCAGCGCATATTCAGCTTTTCGCTTCGGAGCCGAGCGATCACATCGTTCTGCTCCTGACTACTCTATGGAGAGAAGAAGACTGAACGAGTTCAGCACGCTCTTGGAGAGCTCTTCGTGTTGGCGGACGGCGCTTCAGCGGTGGTGGTTTCCCGTGTCGAGTGGGTTGCACACATCAGGCTGCACTACCCCCTGTTTGTGTTGCAAATGATCATCTCCCCTGTGCGCCTCAGCACGCTAAAAGAGCTTTTTCCCCTAAAAGAGAAATTTCGGGTGCGTCTTTTTAAAGACGACGTTGCTTGGCAAACTTGACGTTACGTCTTTATAAAGACGATGTGGGTCTTGCTATAGACAACGTATCACCCGGGCGTTCTGGATGCGGTCGTTACCTGGCGCTGGGTGATGGTCACGATCGCTGCCTCTCGTGCCTGGGCATGAAGCACGCTGAGGTGGCTTTCGTGGATGGCTCATGCTCCCATTGCGGGGGTATGACCATCTCGGAGTTGCGGACCAGACTCCGTTACCTGCAAAGGGGCGGAGTGCCCGTGCCACTGCCTAGATCTGGGGTTCCCTCTGGTGGCAGCCGGGGGCGTCCTTTTTCTGGCGGTGGGCGGACTGGTCTTACGGTCACGGTGAGGAATTCCCCTCCGGGGATGCCCAAGCCCGCCGGCACTTCGAAACCAGCGGAGCTCTCAAAAAGAGCAGGCTGGACCCTCCCGGGGGGTACCACCTGTTTCTTCCGAGGCTCCCCCCGACGATCAGATGTCGATTGCAGCATCGGAGGGTGAGCCAGAGCTTTCTGGAGAGCGGCCTGCCGCCAAACCTTCACCCCGTGGTCAGACCTTGCGTCCTCCAGGCAGGAATGCCCCTGGAGCAGGTACCCAGGCATTCTGTGGTTTGCACGGATGCCTCAACCACCGGCTGGGGGGCCACGTACAACGGGCTTGCAGTGTCAGGGGTTTGGATGGGCCCCAACTGCACTGGCTGCCTCGAGTTGCTGGCAGTGCCCC